CGAGGCTGATATACTGGTTTATATCAGGATACACTGGTTTTATGGGATGAGTTGGTGTATTCTGTTCCATATCAACTGGAACCAGGGAGAACCATCCACAGACAGGGAATTGTCAGTGCTCCTTCCCACTCCATAAACCGCCTTCCTTCCCACTGAGTTACCTCCCAGAACTCAACTGCCAGTACAGCTGCACAAATAATGAACAAATTATGAACAAATAATGCATCAGAAATCCAAAATCCTGATTTCTGGATACATTATTTATTCAGAAGGTCTGGGATACTTCACAGATTAAAATCCTGTAGCAGAACTAACAAAACAGGGTTGCCATCTGTGAGAAGGCAGGTTTGTGCCTCTTGGCAGCCAGGCACTGCATCAGCTGCTGGAGAGATTAAATATTTGTTATTTAGTATATTTGTATTTGTTATACAGTTATTTTCCAAGTGCAATAATAAGTGTGGTTTTTTTTTTTTTCTCTCAACTTCCTTAATAAAATGCTGTTTCACTCCTGCAGATGCTCAAACCAGACCAAAACAATTCTCTGCTTCCAGTTGGCTTCAAGCTTGTGAGGCCTCCTTTTGAAGAGATAAAGTCTCAGGTTTTAAGACTGGAGGGTTCAAAACCAGTCCAGATATTTATGTAGATAATKCAAATTGCATTTAGAATCCCCACACCTTCTACTCTGATCTGGTCATTTATTACCATTTCTTTTAAATTCACCAAGTCCTTCGTGGCAGCACTCAGGATTACAATTCAATTTCCATCAAATAAGGAATATATTCAAGGAATATTTGAATTTACTAAGGCACCAAATAAAATGGGAATATTTTGAGCACACAGATCCTAAATACTGAACATAACCTGGGTGTSAACAGACTGCATAAATCTGTTTAGGTSACTACTTTGTAGTGAAGACACCAARCCAGAAACAAAGCTTTGTTTTCATTCTGACTTTCACTGGGTTTGAGTTCTAAAGCTCAAACTGTGCCCTAAGCAAAGAGAGCACCCCAGGACTCCATGAACAATAAATTCAGTACCTATGAACTGTGGGAGCAAAATATTCTTATTAATTGATTCTCTTCAAATATTTAACCACAGTAGCTAATGTTTATTCCTAATTTAAAACACCCTTTTTATAATTTAAAAAACAACCAACCTATTTTAATTCTGAGTGTTTTTTAAACCGAGATCAAGCCACAAGCCATATTGCAATATAATCTCACTTGTCAATAAAATTAGTGCCTARATAAGTACTTTGAAGCACATGTACCAGAAGCAGAGCAGCAAACATGGGTGGAATATGTTCATTTTTGGCAGATTTTTGCCTCTGAGCCYGAGGTGGACTCGCTCCCAGCACGGCAGGTGAGGAACAAAGTGAATTGCCAGCTCACCTAATAAGACATCTCTGTCACAGGGAGTTTGGAGATTCTCTCCAGGAGCACTCAGGGGAAAGCCTGGCTGCAGATCAGGAATGGGAAGGGATGCAAAGAACAAAAAGTGCAGCACATGGCTCTGCCTGCATCGCCGGGCATGGGAGGGAACGGGAATTACATGACTTGATTTACTTCACAAAAACTGATTAGGAAAGCCCCCTGTGGATTTCTTAACTATACTGTGGAGGGATATAAGATTAGTGTAGCAATTCCCATCATCAAACGTATTTACTGCTAAAATATTGGATTAGTGATGTTGTTATCCACTCTTCCAAGATTATAAAGTGATTCTTTAAAATTGAGATTGTTATCCACTCTTCCAAGATTATAAAGTGATTCTTTAAAATTGAGAGAAAAAAAGGAAAAAAAAAAAAAAACAACCTACACTCTTATCATTTGTAATTAGATTTGAGTCTGAGTGGTTTTGCTTTTCCAGAAAAAAGTAGTTTTGTTAAAAAAAAAGATGGCACTCTGCACACAAATAGAAAATAAAACTGTAGAGTCCAAAGAATCCTCTTCTGCTTGTGAGAGACAAAGGGTTGTGTTTGGTCTCTGTTTTATTGCTCCTGCTTGTGATTSTCAGGGCTCTGGCAGTGCCCAACCTTCACACCAGTGGTAATAAAGCCTTTTTGGGGCGGGATGGGGTTTATTTTAACACTGAGTGTGAAAATCATCATTCTCAGACACTCAACCCTCACAGAGAACTCTGAGGACAGGATCATCATTGTCTCAGTTTCCAGTGACAGCGTGAACTGTGAAGGAGGAAGAGCATGGGGAGAGGGGCTAAATTAATGTGTTCATTAAAGTAATTATGCCACATTTGGGCCAGGAAGTTTAATGCAGCYGTATCCTGGCTTTTTAGCCATTATCTTCAGTGACTAAAAGCACTTGGAGTCCTCACAATTAAYAAACAAATAAAAAGCTACAGCACTACCAGCACCTTCTCACCTTTTATCCTGTCCAACCTCCAGAAACCACTACAATGCAGAATTTCAGAGAGATGTATAATAGACAGGAGTGTAGGAGCCACCAAAAAAAAATTAAATCAGAAATATTCTGCAACTGAAGAGTGGGAGTTTTGTTGTACCTGTCAAGCTGGCAAACCTCACTATTTGCCACTACTGCCGTTTAAACTTGAGCACTGTTCCTTTTCTTAGTGTGGTAAATCTTTATTTTCTCTCTCTGGTTTCACCTTCCTGGTGATGGTAGAGATTGTTCAGGTTGGGAAAGCTCTCAGAGATCTTTGTGTCCAAGCAGAAGCCARCACTGCTGGGGTCACYACTGTCCCCTGTCCCCAGGTGCCACATCCCCCTTTGGGACACTCCAGAGATGGTGATTCCCCATCTCCCTAGGCAGTCAATTCCAACATTTTCAGTGAAGTTTTTTCCTGATATCTCCTTTAACCCCCACCTGTCAAACCTTTGGGCCATTTCCTCTCATCAGTCAGGTGTTACCTGGCTGAAGAAACCAACCCCACCTCACTAAAATATTAAACAAACCATTCATTTCTGATCCAGAATCTCAGTGGTCAATATAATTTCATGTCATTGCCACACAAAATTTGGCACCAGCATCCTCAAGAACTTCAACAATCAGAGATTACTTTGATTTTAAATTGTCCTGTTCATAATGGATTGTAAATATAGAGGCTATAAATGCATAATCTGAACTGCAGCAGCTCCGAGCAGCCTTGACAGGRTTTATCAGCCAARTGTTTAATCAGGCAAAGCAGCAAAAAACAGAACCCCAGGAATACATGGTATTTAGCATTTAAATAAAGCTTGTAAACCAATGACAAGTCTATTTGGGCAACTGCTCCCACACATGTTCCTTATCTGCAAAGGTCTTGTCCCAAATTTATCGGAASRAGCCTCTCACACTTTATTTTCCAGGCAGTTTCCATTCACTGAGCTCACAGAAGAAGATGCAGAAAACTACAAGTTGAAAGGCAGGGCCGAGAAAAAAGAAAATTCCCACACTGTCACTGTTATATTGCTCTGTGAACTCGGTAAGGCACAGCCAAAAACCCCTAAAAACACAACTGTGAACCCCAGAACAAAAATCCTACCACAGGAGAAGAACTGAGCCGACAAAGCGCTGCAGTTCCTCATTTTTTTTTTGTAATTGCAGAGCTGCTTCAACATCCCCAGCAACTTGGGGGTGCTTTCAAGATCAACCCTGGAGCAAAGAAGGCAAAAGAGAGCCCTGGCAGTACCAACCCTTCCCTGTCTGGCACACAAAGCCCGTTTTTGGTGTCTCCAAACCCTGTGAAATTGCCAGGCACTGCTGTTTGTGCCTCAGTGCCCCTCACACACCCTGCCCTGGGCTGGCTGACCCTGTCCCTGCTGCTGGAACATCCCACAGAAGCTCTGAGCAGCCCAAGCACAGAGTTTTATTGTCATTATTGAACAGACAGAAGCTATGAGTCTCTCCTTTGGGTGTGTTGTGGGGGATTCAAAAAATCTTCAATGGAAATAACACCTTTTTGTACACAGGGACTGGCTCTACTCGTGGCTCATTCCAACAGCTTTTAAATACATTTCTCCTCCTTTTAGAGTTGGGAACCATTTGCTTTATGAGCACCATTTGGATCATTTGCCTGTTGCTCATAAAATAGACAAAGCTTTTATCCATGCCATGAATTTTTACTCACTTTATACAAAATACCTAAGGAGGGATTTGCAGTGGCCAGAATTACATCCATGAAAGAATTAACARCTAATTTAATTTTCTGCTGCAATAATGGTTCCAGCAGTTTTTGATTTTGTTGATTACATTTCTTCTCTCCAAGAAATTAAAAAAATAAAAAACCCAGCATATTAGTGCTAGCTTCTTTGTATGTATTTGTTTTAGAAAACAGACTTTTCTAAATAAAAAAAATAGGAATGACAGAAATATTATATGAATTCTAATCTGTGTGGTTATTAAGTGAAGCTGTGGCCAATGCAGCTTTCAGAAGCGCTCAGATAACACAGAGCAGCACAGGAATATATGGGGAATAAACAGCAAAAACAGCCCTGAACTCCTGCACATAAAACATTTATTATAAACAATTTGCTCAAGTGAGTACCAAGGCCAAACATTCAAACCCACTCTATGTTAAGAAAGTTTTCCTATTAATATCTGCATTTCTTTATCCCTTTTTGCTTGATTAATTATTGCTTCATTCTTGGTTGAGTCCTTATGAGGCAAAAGGTTGATCTCTCAAACCTTCCTCTCAAAATAAACTTCCACCACTTCATTTCCACACCAGATGCTCACAGTTCATTGACAGACCAATAAAACCACCAGAGCAGTTTTGTTTTGYCGAGTTCTGCAAAAATTTTAAGCCCATATGAAACCCAAGCTGAAGGCAAGATAATGCTGGCATTTCTTCCTCAGAAAGAAGCTCAGACTTCAACTAAAAGGACACCACCAGTAGTCTGGGCAGCCAAAAAAACAAAACAAATCATTTTGATGTGTGATAGAAGAACCTGTTGCAACATTTCCTTGCAGATTATTTCCATGAACATTTACAGAAACCACCATTACAGAAAATAAGTTATAAGAAAAGTTGTTCCAGCCTACCTGTGGCTGAGTCCAGGCCTCCAAGGTTGTTTCTTTCAAAGGAGTTTGTGGCCTTCCCACTTCTTTTGTGTGCTGTTAGGAGAGAAAAGAATGCATCAATTATATGTTCAGCATTATTTTCCCTTGAGGGAATAAAACAGGTACAAAATCTTTACAATAATATATCAAAGTGTCCATATAAATCAAACTGATTAAAGTGATCTTCAAGGAGGATGACTTGWGATCCTTCACATTTCCCTCTCTTACAACACCAAAGCATCCTGCAATCAGTTAATATCTGTAATTATCCYGCTTCAATCATAAATGCACAAGATTTTTGAGTACTGGGGCTGAGCATTGAATAGGATGTTGGCTCCTTTTAATTTTCTCCATATGTGTTTCTAGTGAGGAACATTACACATTTTGTAAAGGACACAAGTCTCACGTTTTCTTTCTCTCTGTATTTTTGTTCTGCCATAAAATAGAAAACAGTGGCATTCACACAAATAAAAAAAAGTCCTCTGCAGAATTGCTCTTAAGCAGTACAGGGATTTTCCTCCTCCTGAAATACAACATCTCTAATGTTCATCTGCCCTTTGAACRCTGCCTCTGACAATATCTAATACAAATATTTTATCCAGGCCTCACATCAGACCGATCTAAATGCCCATGGAGACTGCAAGGACTGACAAAGAGAAGGAGAGAGATGCCATTGGATTTTCTGTCATTTACAACAAACTGTGGCTGCTTAAAAAGATTTTTTTTTTTTTTAAAATACAGAAATTGTGGGCAACCTCAGCTAGCATGGAGCATTCACAGGGCTTCTTTCAAAAAAACACCTTATTAGATGGCAATTGTGTTTTGGCAGGTTGGATTGCCTGTAATCATAGATTGCTGGCAATCATTTTTACCATTTTTTGTTAYATTTTGGGGTAGCAATGGAACATGATTTATTCTCGAAATAGAACAATAAGTGCATTTCCAAAGAAAAAAAAGAGAAATAACCACACATTCAGTAAATGTTAAGCAGAGTTAAAATGAATGCAGCTGGAAAGGGAAGGTTGTGTTTTTCGTGCGTTCAAAAGCAAATKTATTCCACCTTATAATCTTGCTTAAATCATCAGCCATCAAAGGGACCCAAACACACAACGAAAATTATTAAACATACCAATTCTGGTGCTAAGATACCATAATAATTCCACATGGGACAGCCTGCCAAGAGCTGACAYTCAAAATCACACTATTTCTTGAGAAATCGTTTTTCTTGGAGTTCCACACCAGATTTTTCATACATTTGTCCACTCAGAGAGCAAAGAGACAAATGAATAAACGAGTGGGTGATTATATGGAGAAAATGGATGCAGRAGTACATTTAGGTGAAATAACAGTGAAAGTGTTTGAGTAACACTGGAAACCATGTTCTAAACATTAAATCTGGCTTAGTGAGGGGTCAAATAAMTCAATGCTGAATTTTTTTTGGACAAGTCCCACTTATTTCCTAATGTTCCTCCCACCCTGCACCTACAGAGCCCCTCAGCAGTGCTCATCATCATCTCTGTGCTCTGCTCTAAAGAAGGATGTGGCAAAGAGAGAACTCTTCTGGGAGTCTCCTCTTCCTTCCAGCACAGAGAAYGAAGCTCTTACTAAATCTGGAAAGTTTTCGGAATCCTTTATCCCCTTCATTTCACCTGGAGCATCTTCCTACAGCCTTGTGCAGCTTCCACAGCTCCTCAAGAAACACCAGACTGTGCCCACAGTGTTTTGCTTGTGTTCCCTCCACTTTTTTAATTCAACATTTCAGTTTCTCACACAGAAGAGAATTGTGCTGATAATGAGATAAAGATGGAATGATTCCAACCTGGATATCCCATCATGGTTCCACAAGACATAAATGGACAAATTCTGTTCTTACCACTCACCCAACCCCTCCTGAGATTTCCCTCTCTG